CATAATGAAAATAATTTTTATTTACACAAAAAATGCTACTGACTTTATATAGAATCTGCTACTACTGGTATAGAATCTGCAATTATAGGATAGAAATACATAAATGATCATATTTCTCTGATATAACCAGTGACGACGCGTGCTCTATCTGGAAGGGTGTGCGGCCCTTCTTTAATGCTGTTTTTACATTTACCACTTAAATTAAAATTTATGAGATGTTTTATTAATAATAACCATATTATATTAGGCAACAATATATTCGCAATATTATATTAACAATTCATTAACAAAATAACATATTAAACAAATTAAATTAATAATTTATATATAAGTTTAATATTATATCAATATGGAAGAAACAAAACTTTTCACATAATTCTCGTAACATCAAACCAAATTTTTTCAAACAAAAGAGTTTGTACTTGGAAACATACATGTTTATGCAGTGATCAAACAAAATCAAACCCACTTGCAACGTATAAATGTGCGGACAAGTACTCCGCACAGTAAGCGACCGAAATTCGTGGGTGCTTCTGTTAAAAGGGGAGAGACGAAATGTGATAGAAATGTATGGTGAGATGAGCTGCAAACTTCAGCCGCTCATGCAACCACTTTGACAAATCATCATGTTGGATTCGTATGCATGCAGTTGATAATCGAATAGAACAGAAAATTACTCTCATACAATTCCCACTATATAAATCTCTATTTCTGATATTACGAACAGGAGCACACGCACATTATTTTGTTCATATGCAACGTATGAATGTGTGGCCAACTTCTTTGCACACAAAGGGGAGAGACGAAATATAATAGAAATGTTCTGTGATTTGAGCTGCAAATATATGTGCACAACTAACAAATATAACAACTAACAGAAGCAAATTGATTGAGTTTTCATAGACAATTATATTTAATTGTTTTTGCTAAAACTTTAAAAATATATATGGAAATGTAATAAATAATAATAATTGTTGATGTGAAGATACTTAATAAATTTATATACCTATTTTATTTGACATTTTGCAAATTATGTTAGGGTGTTCACCGCACACCTCCGCACCTTAGAGCAATCGTCACTGGATATAACATGGACAGATACTCAAATCCTGAACACACAAATGACAAAGACTGGAAGTAGAATGCATCGCGATAAAAAAAATGGACATGTTTAAAACCTTTATTGGACCCATTGCTAATGATAGAAACTTAAAAGTATTGAAAATGCACAGTTGCTCATATATAAATGCAAGATCTTAGATCTTATTGAGATTTACAACGCTGAGATATAATAGTAACTAAACAAAATTTTATCAGATATTACTTATATATTGAAGTGTCGACTTGTCACAGAAGAGAGAGCCCAATCAAAATATGTCTCGATGCAATATTCAGCGATTAAAACACACTAAGAACATAATAAAGACAAGTGATCTTGTGAAAGTATTGATCCACCGCGATCTTAAAAAGGACAGGAAAAATACAAAAGTAACAAAAACAAATTTTAGTGATCATATCCATAGTCATGAGAGATTTAACACTAAAAGAATTCACAGTCGAGTTTGTTAATATTCATCTATTCCTCATGTTCATATTCAGAAAAAGTTATTTAGAAAATGTTTATTATAGGACCTTTAATATTCGAACATTTAATTGTAATGCACCCAATTCAAGCCTGCAATTAAATTCGTTCATTAGAAATCAGAAATAGAGTTTACTATAGCAAGCCCTCTTTAATCTCCAGAGCTGTGCAGTACTTAACACTTTTGTAATTAGATTACTCTCAATTTTACTTCCATTAAAATTGTTGCAAAAAAGACTTGCATTGGAACTTAAATTATGTGCTACTTTTAAGCACTTTATTTAAATTTATTTCATGTTTATCTATGTAACTTACTAAAGCATCTGCCAACAAGGTGAGAATTTTAATATATTTTATTGGAAATGATAGATTTAAATTCAAACCCATCGAAAATAAATTTGGATTTGTTTATTTTAATAAAATCTTTAATGATCAAATATAGGAACTGTCTGTTTTTTGCACAGTTTTCTATGTCATACATTTGTTATAAAAAAAATGTATTTGTTTTAAATTGAGTATTGACGTTAATTTATATTGGTTTGCATTCTAAACGCTCTTATTAAATGATTAACAGAGCTGTGCAAAATAAATTTCATTACCAATTCCATTGTAATTACAAGGTAATTGATATTGGGAATTGAGTTGCACGATTACAAGTGGAATTGAAATTGTAAAACCCAATTTCTAAGTACAAGGCATTGGAACTAGGAATTGAGTTACGAGATTAAAAATGGAATTGTAATGGATAAACCCAATTCCTAATTCCGAATAATTTGCAAAAGTATTTGAAGGAAGAAGCAGCAGGTGAATTTCTGAATAATTGGCAATGTGTTAGATTTTATATCTTCGGTTATAAGTTGTCTTTGCATTTAGTTTGCTCTCTCGTTCATAGTCTTTTTTGGAGTTGATTGTTGTTCGTACGTTGGAGATTATCTTACGCAAAATCCAAGAATGATAGAGCATTTGAGAATTTATGATAACTATTTACGAGCATTTATTACCCCATACAAACTTTACACAGGAATTAAATATTTAAATTAAAATTTCTTTTTTTAAATTACTACGTAATCCTAATTCCTGTCCATCTAGCGGCATCGCCCTAATAAAATGTTGAACAAAAATAAATCATCTGTGTTAACACATATCCGACATTTCAATATTTTCTCTGAATTTTGTATTTGCTGTCATAGAATTTTCACGCAAGGCCACTGCCGTAATAAAAGCAGTCATTATGATGTTATAAATCATTAAAAGTATTCATGTGGCAAGTATAGAATTCTTCTGAACAGATTAGTAGTGACTGCATGCATTCCTTACAGTTACTAAGCAATTGCATTTGGGCGTAACAGGAACGTGAGATTTTTCCAATACAAAAAAATGAGCACAAATAATCGTATCACATGACGGACGTATAGTATTTGTGCGGTAATTTACGCTTCAATTATTTTCAGTTTAACGAAAATATTAGAAAGTATAAATCTTAACAACTTGAGATCGAGAAATTTTTTAATGTTATTGAGGCACTCCTCTATTTAATGTTTTGATATGCATTCGGTGAAGTAAATGAAAAATTATTAAAAATAAAATAACTTCTAGTAACTTAGTTTTACAGTTACTAGACGCAGTATAAGAAAAGTTATATTTAAATAAAAAATATAATATTATTAGGCAACTATTATTATATTATATATTCTAATAGTTGACGTGGAGAATAAAAATTTTAATTAATTATTTATTTTTAATATAATATTTTTGTTTACATCGACTACTTGTAATGAAAGAACCGCATTTCGCATTTCATCTCTGCGATAAGTACATATTATACAGTCTATCGCTGTTTAGGTGTTCGTCTTTCTGTTCAATGCATATTCAATCGGTTGAATAAGGATTATCACAGAGATGTTTGGAGAAGAATTAATGTTTACTGACTTGCTGCTTACGAGACCAACTGAAAATTTATATCTAGTACCACAGATCCCTCAGCTTTAGTTGACCTAATTTCTAGGTTTTCTTTTATGAAGAAGTGTCATACTCTCTCTCTCTTCCACTGTAATAATAATCTAAAGATAAAATCCAAATCAGATTACTCTCATTAAAAGTAGAATTGCATCTTTTGACCGAGTGACCTAAAAACAATATAGGTGTAGGATAGGCATCATTTCTCACCAAGAGCAAAATTATATATAAACGAATAACTCCACCTGGTACTGGTAAAATTCTTATAAATAGTTTTTATGAAGCATTTTTGTCAGCATGCATTAACACATGTTTCGTCAGCAAAGAGTGTATTTGATTTCATATATTTCGCAGGAAAATTTGCAGTATATAAATCACAAAATAATCGAAACAATGGGAAACCTTAAGGGATACTAATCTATTTTAATTTTCTTTGTAGATGAAAAGTGGTTTTGAATTTTGACCAAGAACTCTATATTTGATAAAAAAAAAACTAGCTAACAGTTTTACATGTCAACTGGGATATCACAATTTTTTGTTTTGGCAATTAGTCCGTTAGATCACACCTTTTTTAATGACTAAATTAAATGATGATTTCTTCAATATTTGTTGAAGTTAAGGTTCCCACTTCTCTCATTGCTAAAATATCAAGTTATTAAATTCCTGATATTAACTATTTTCAATTGTTTAAAGATAGAGCATAAATTGATTCTCTAAACATTTTCAAAGAACTTCAATGTATTTTTTTTTTAACGATTGTAACCACGACTAACAGAATTAACATCTTTAACAGAATTTATCTTTAATCAGAAGTATTTGCTTAATCTTCAGAAAGTAATGCCATCTGCCTCATGATGAGCTGATTTCGTTTAGTCTTGATCGTGGACGTTTTCTACAACGATCTAGCCGGATCACTTTCTTCCATTCATACAACATGACCGAATCAGCGAAGTCGCCAAATTTTTAAGCGCTTAACTATGTCAATGTCACGGTATTGCTCATACAGCGCCTCTTTCCATCTAATTCGTCACTCGTTGCCAACGTATAAGGGATCATAGATCTTCCGAAGAATTTTTCTCTGAAATGCTTGTAACGCCTTCTCATCTGTCTCAGTAATTGTTGAAGCTTCTGCTCCATAAGGCAGGACAGGCATGATAAGAGATTTGTGGAGCGTGATTTTTGTTTGTCATGAGAGGACTTTATTCTCAATTGTCTACTTAGCCTGAAGTAACATTTGTTGACAAGATATTTAATATTTATACAAGAGTGAATATATTATTTTTATTATATATTATTTCATGTATTTTTTTTATATAAAAGCATCAAAACAAAACCTTTTTTTATATAAATGTATAAAAATATATTTATTTTTTTATTAAAAAAGTGAAAATTTAAATTATTTATATTTATCTAATTTTATTTATCAAAATTAGATAAATATGTAATTTAAAAAATGTATCAATATTTTGTACAAAAAATTTGTTTATGCATTATAAACATTTACCAGGTTGCAGGGATACTGAAAATCGTATAGTACCCATTATAACCAATGCCTCTTACAGAGAAAAAATAACGAGTTTTAATCGTTTGTATAACATGTATAATCAGAGGAGGCTTGTGTGTAGACAGTTCAGCTATAAGAACCCATTCTCCGTCGATATTCGCTGTGGTGGCATAAATCTCAATGCGTGATAGCTCATTCAGAACTATATTATTACCTGCTTCAATCGCTATTCTTATTTTGTAGTCAATGAGCTTTTCTACACGTAAGATAGGAGCTCCTAAAATTTTGTCTCCCTTCGTTTGCGGCAACATTTTCATTAGCAGTATAGCTTTAATAGAGGATTTGTCTACAAAAATAATAGAATCAACTTTTATTATAAAGGAAAACAATACTGAATAAATATATGCTGACCGTCATCGCATTCAGGCGTTGCTTTCAATTTCTGTAAAGGACTACTTGCATCATTTCTGTAATGACAAAAAAGTAGTAAACTTATCATATGATTTTGATATATAAATTAATTATTCAAAATTTGAAGTTTAAAATTGTGCAATAATTACATTATGACATCAGGATGTTCTATGGCTTTACGTCTTTCAACTGCAACGACCGTGTTAATTCTTTTCCTTATTTTTCGTTTTCTTTTCTTTGTCTTTTTTTCAGTAGAGGATCCTGTAAATTGAAATAATTTATCGTTAAAAAAATGTATCGAGTCAGTATTTGATGTTTTACAATTACCACCATACTGCCTTATCAGATCTTTTTCTAACTCAGTCATATTTGCCAAAACTTTCTTATTAACAACGAAATTCGCTGTTACATAATCCTTTTCCTCATCGCTTGATGAAGAATCATTATCATTTAACAAAAAATCTTTTGAGTTATCTATGCAAGAATAGACCTCAGCATTATCCAACAGCAAATCTTCTGAGTTGTTCTTATAAGAGTTTACTACAGAATTTTCATTCAAATTTTCTGAGCTGTCCTTATTAGAGTTCACTTCAGAATTATTCACAATCATATATTCTGAACTTCTTTTACGAAAGTTTAGTGCCGAATTACAGACATCCAAATCCTCTGAACTTTCCTCGCGAGAACACTTTTGTTCAGCTTTTGTTGTTAATAAATGTTTTGAATTGACATTATACTGAGAAGACAATTTGGCATTATTAAGGCGCTCCCTATGGAAAGTTATAGATTTATCCCTCTGGTGTAACTTATCAACATGATATGCTAAAGTAAATTTCTCAGAAAACTGCTTTTTGCAAAACTGACATTGGTGGATTCTCTTTCCTGAAATCTTTGTCGAATGTTCAACCATAATGGAAGTATCTTTTTGATTTTGTAATTTGACACTTTCTTTTTTGTGGGACTGTTGCAAATGCTTTCGTAACCTGTATTTAGTAATAAAACTACGGCTACAAAATTTACATACGAAACTTTTAGTACTTTTACTTTTGCCCTCAGACTTCTTTTTTTCAGTACATTGATAATTTCTAAGCCTGGTCTTAATTCCAGATTTGTGATCTTTGTCTTTCTCTTTATTAGTCTCAATCATTTCTACATTTCTATAAGACGAATCCTCTTTAGCTGTCATCTCATTGGAATATCGTTCGCTCTTTTCAGTTTTCAAATTTTTTGAAAGTTTTTTCATGTTACTTAAATCTTCACATATTTTTGGTTTGCCAATCTCTATAGTATTTACATTTTCAACATTATCCGGAATCAGTTTAAGTGAAATATCTGATTTCTTCTTAATTATTGCCATATCGTGAGAGGTTAATGAAGCTTCTGCTTTATGATTTTCTTTTAGGTGCTTATTTAAATTTTTGCGGTTTCTGAATTTCTTGCTGCATTTATCGCAAGTATACATTGTATTTTAAGTACAGTATAGTTTAAACTACAATAAAAGTTAGTATTAAAATATTTTTTATTATATTATTTTAAACAGAAGAAATAAGTTCAGTCAAATCAGCAAAGTAATGAAGAAGTAAAAAAGAATCTCGATTAGATTGTAAATATTCTCTATTCACTACTAGCCAAATTTTTTTTTCTGTTTGTATAGATTTGCGCTTATGAAGGAACACTCGAAAAAGCTTAAAACCATTTCAACTATGTCTTAAAATCTAATGCGATCTTATATACTAAAATATGATTTTCAGTACATCTAATACATATAGTGGATCTCTATTCTTCAAGCTGTTGACCAAATTCTTCTGTGCTTTAAGAAACATAAATCACATTAAATACAATTTGAATTGGTTTAGTAATTTTCTGTATCTATCGAAAGGAATATCAAATATAATCCTTTTCTCATTTTGAAGATTTTTATCCAAATCTATTGGAAAGATCTATATATGTTCTTTTTGCGAGTATCGTATCCAAGCAAATTATTAGTTAAATATTCTCTTGACAATATAATCTGCATATGATGAACTACAAACCAATGCTACTAGGTGGATTGATTATTACTTGACTTCACAACAGGTGGCAACGCCAAAACAAAAATAATTACATTTTGTATATCTGGCAAGTTTTAAATGACAACTGTTTGGCTAGGAAAAAGCTAGCACCTTAGAGATTTTTTATAAAATGGAAAGAAATAAACAATGATGCAATAAAATTGGGGAAATGAATTCTATTTACGACAACCTTGCACCATCCTTAACAACAATAAAATATTGAAAAGCTGAATTTAAACGTGGTCGTACGAGTGTTTTTCATGAAGACCGTTCGCAAGTTGGGTGCCGCGTTGGTCAGAATTGGCCAAAACCGACAACGACTTCGTCATTCAAAACACTGTTTGGAAATGTTTATGCATAATCTAGCTGATTGTGAGCATCGAATAGTGAGAAATAATGAAGCAAGGCTCCGTTATTTCATCCCTGAGAAAAAACTACAAGCCAGAAATTGGGTGGAGCCCTGGATAGTGTTCCCAAACGTCCACGAACTCAACAATCGGCTGGAATAGTTTTCATTTCCGTACTTTAAGTTTCATGTGGAATAATTTTCATAGACAATTTAGAAAAAGAAAAAACAATAACATTAGACTACTATTGTATATTTTTGTATCAAGAAATCAAGAAAAAATGACCGCATTTGTTGGAGAAAAAATGCACTCGCTCACACGTCAATGAAAACCATGACCAAATTAAATGTATTACGGTATGAATTGCTTCCTCACCCTCCATATTTTTTACATTTGGCTGCCCCTGTGATTATACCCTGTTTCCAAACTTGAAAAGATGGCTATAGGGAAAGAAATTTGCACCAAATGATCACGTGGAATGGAAAACTGAGGTATATTTTGGAGGACTTGATAAATCGCGTTATCATTTAAAAGGTATGCAAATGTTAAAAGATCGTTGGACTCGGTATGTCAAGCTAAAAGCGGACTACTCTGAAGCATAAAATATAATTTTCCAAGAAAAATGCGTTTTTATTACTTAGGTATAGTATTTATCAATCTACCTAGTGCTACATCACTGTCTTCTTTGGTTTGGAAAATTTGTTTCAAAAGCATAAACACGTTATGTATTGATTTAGAAATTTTCGGTATCCATCACAAAAGATTTAAAATCTGTTATATCACTTATTGACATAGGTATAATATAGTCTACATAATATGTTTATTATATCGGCTAACTTATATTATATGAATGAATGTGCAAAATTGCAATTAAAAAAATGTTTAATTCTACTTAAGAACTTTTCATCTTCCTTTGAATAGAAGTGCCAGCACTTTTTTGACAAATCGTACCTATCTTGAAGCAAACATTCCACTTAATATTAGCAAATTTGATTTGAGTGCTACTTTTTTTTGATACTCCACCTTATGTTATTGAAAGTATTTTTGAGTTTCTAACATTTAAAAGATTTTAATATTCAACAATTTAAGTGTTTATTGAAGTACACTCTGCTTGTGCCATTAAAAAAATCTGCTCTTAAATACAAGTGTGTTATACATTGTGACCGAAAAGTTTCCGGAAAATTTTAAATAAAACGCAAAATTCTTAATCTTCATCAATATTTATTTTATCTCCTTCAAAATATGCTCCATTAGAAGCGATACACAAATGCCAACGTTTCTTCCAATCATCAAAACATTTTTTATAGGCGCTTTCCGGTATGGCTTTGAGTTCCCTCTGCGAATTCTGTTTTACGTCTTCTATGGATTCAAAACGCGTTCCTCTGAGTGGTAATTTGAGTTTGGGAAACAGGAAAAAGTCACACGGTGCAAGATCAGGTGAATACGGTGGCTGTTCGATGGTATTTATTGAATGTTTGGCCTTAAAATCGTTGATAATGTTGAACAAATTGAGGTGAATCGGAACAAGCCGGGCGTTGACACGTCGCATACACAAATTGTCCACCAAAATCAAACGAGCCATCTCACGACCGATGCCTAGCTCTCGTGCTATCTCTCTAACACTCACATGAGGATTTTGGAACACGATTTCCTTTGCCTTTTCAATGTTTTCGTCGGTGGTAGAGGTCGAAGGTCGTCCAGAACGCGGCATGTCTTCGACGGTCGTACGACCGTCCTGAAAGGCTTTGTACCACTCATAAACTTGAGTTTTCGATAAAACTGATTCCCCATAAGCCTTTTGTAGCATTCGCAACGATTCTGCACACGAAATTTCGTTCGGAACACAAAATTTGATGCAAACTCTTTGTTCAATATTTTTTTCCATTGTTTTTTTCGCAACGCACTACTGAGGTGAACTGGTTTCAACAGCTGCCGTAAACGAACTGTCTTACAGATCGCGCTCATTTTTGGCATAGTAATTAAGGACAGTGCTGCCAAACTACATAAACTTAAAATATCGAAAAATATACAGCGCGCGAATTTTAAATGAGAATTTCCGAAAGCTTTTCGGTCACAATGTATGCATTAAAATTCATAATAATTTTTTATGCGAAATGTCATTAAATAATTTTTATTCAAATAATTTGTATGCAATAAATGAAATTCATTGGGTGTAGCCCTGCCGAAAAAAAATTGCACAAAGAATTTAATTATAAATTTCATACTAACATCTCAATGCGAGGTGCAAAGAGCAGTGGAGGAATAGAATATTTCTATTGTGAAGACTCAGCAAAAAATAGTCGAGGATTTCTTCCTGCCTACACGCAAGCATTACCGAAACGTGGGTCGCAACGGAAATGCTACTTCAACAAATCCATTTTAAATATTTTTGCCATTGTGTACTAAATAAAGGGAAATGACAACGGATTACCAGAGGCATATATGGACTTTGTGCTTGTCATGCACACAAAGCGATTACTCAAAATAATTTATATGCGCACAGTGGTGGAGTAGAAATTGAATTAAAACTTTTTAAAGAATAAGAAGAAATTGTTTAAAACGGAAGAGCACATATTGCACACATCATTTAAGACTAAAAGCAATATATTGAGGGAATCATTTTTGCAACTTTTATTCCTTTATTCCTATACAACACTTTTCACGCGATTTGAAAGTGGCAAAAAAGTGAAAAATATAATCGCAATCGACCAACCTCTTCATGGAAACCGTACCGCAGCAAATTTAATTTATCTTCTTTGGATTGCGCCGTAGCATAATGAATTACGACTTTATTCCTGCAACCTTTTATGTATGTATAAGAAATATTCTATAAGTAATAGCATATGAAGCCGCCACATCTAGGAGTGACGTACATATATGTAGTATATCGCATTTAATTTTAAAGGAACGGACTTAATCGTATTCGCTTCAGATAAGCTCCATAAAAATTGTATACAGAAATATGTATTGAATTTTCCATATCATGATTCTCATCTTCATCATCTTAAATATTTTTACTGGATTTAGATCATAATATGAGCTCGTGGATATAAAAACCCATTGTCTTTGCGCAACAAAATAAGACTTGAGTTGCAGAAAACTTTTAGATGCTATCAACTTTCAAGAATTTATCTTAATTTTACTATACTGTGGATTACACAATTAAATAAATATATTTTGAAAAAATATCAGTTTTTATTATTAAAACAAAGTTTTCTTTAATTCGATTAAATTATGAACATTAAAATTATCAACATGCACTTTGGATAAAATAAAACTAAAATCCTTATATTAATTCAATTATAAAGATAGAATATCTGCAAAACCATAAGGCCAATCTGTAAAATGCGTCGAGAAATAAAATAAAATGTAATCCACAGTAAAATGTAGTAAAATGAATTATTTAGTTTGAGAATTTCTTTCAAAGTCTGATAAGCTGCACACTAGATAAGAACTTTCTTATTCTTACTATTTTCATTGGTAGTATTAAAACAATCGCCAGTTGGAGTGTCAAATCTCTGCACAGTAATTAGTTTTCTATATAGTAACTCAACCTAGATATCACTATGTGATATTATCAGAATAGCGGATATATTGTGTCTATTGATATCGTTTAAAAATATAGAGAATAATTCGGCTCTATATTATATTGATATATAAGGAGATATAGAGGCTTTAGTAGCTATTTAGCTTCTAACATCTGTTTCTGATATATATCTTAACAGTGGAATATTAACAGCAGCTGTGAGTGTCATCACCACGTCCGCTTAAAATACACATATATAGTCTGGTGTTCTATGTGACAACTTAAGTGTGCTCATTACTAAGTAAATTCTAACCCTCTTATTTAGTTTGCAGTCATCTGTGTTAATTAACGGTAAAGGTTAGGATAATTATTTTGCCACTCATATTGTTTAACATAAGTATAGAGTGTTCAAATACCCTTACCAGATTTGATTAGTTCATGTGATAATCGATGATTGTATGATATTTTCTTTAGAATTCCAGAGTGTCCTAGGTGTGGTTTCAATTTTTGAATATACTTCATTTCAATTGCTACTTTGGCAGCATAGTCAACAAGCTACTGAATT